CATTTCTTTGTTGTCTTTGTCCATTTCTTTACCCTTATTCACAGCCTTCTCATGACACAAGGAATGTTTTCTCTTTGACTTCTATCTAGCGTGTCGTAAAGTTTCTACTCCACACATTCTTCTTCACTCTTTGTTTTTCACACCCCCTCGCCTCCTATGGGTTCAGTAAGCAGTAAACAAAGCTGAGGATTTTCAACTCAAATGGGAAGTCAGTTCTGTTGTATGGCCGTGAGACATGAAACGCATTTCACATATGCATAAAGAGGATCCAGGTTTTCTTGAACAAGTGTCTGAGGAAGCTACTGAGGATCAGATGAACAGAAAAGATCACCAATGGGGAAGTATTAAGAAGAATGAGACAGAGTCCATTCATAGAAGAGGTGGGAAAAAGGCGTTGGCGATGGATTGGACACACACTAAGGACGCCTAGCAGTTGCATGACAAGGAAAGTGTTAGATTGGAACCCACAGGGTAAGAGATCAAAGGGAAGACCACGTGGAACCTGGAGAAGAGTCACGAAAATGGAGGTACAGAAAAGTGGGAAGACATGGAGTGACATCAAGCGACTAGCCCTGGATAGGGAAAGGTGTAAAGTGTTTGTTCTTGGCCATTATCCTGATCCAGGGGGAGAAAGGCGATGATGATGATTATGAAGCAGTAACGCCCTTCAACGACCCACCATGTAGTCCAGAGCTTGTCCTAGATCCCTCTTGAGATCCTTGACGTCCTCAAGACCGACGGACAGCCGCACCAGAGACGGGGTGATCTCCCATGACTCCATGCAGCCCACGGGCGTGTGACGTTGGCTGGACGTCATTCTGGGAGAGAGAGTTATGACGTGTGTCACCATGCGGTGGAATCAGGCGCTCGTCAATCTGTCCCCGTGGTTTTATGCACCCGCATAATCTAGCAAAATTTGATCATTTTTAGTGTGCATAATTTCTTATTATTTTCTTTACTCAGTTTCCATAATTTCAGAATTTTTCTTGCCTAAAACGATGGGGACAGGTCAATTGGTCGCTTTTAAGGACAAGTGGGTTAACCCATATTTCGGGGGTTTCCAGAGGTCTTGACCTACACCAAAATCGAGCATTGCCCTACCTATAGGAGACATTTTGTTTTATTTGTGTGTATATTTGTTTATATAGAGAGAAAACTCTCCCTGTATTTTAAAGAAACTGAACAAGGGGAAAAACCTTTCCTTCGTTTTTCTCAAAACAGCATTTTTCGGATAACCCCTTTGTGCTTAAAAGCGACCAAGTTTTGGGGTGTGTGGACTCTGCAGTATCACCATAAAGCTTGTTCATTTTCAGTAAAAGTCCAAACAGAAATGTGATACAAAAGGTTTTAAGGGGAAAATAAGAACATTCGAAAAAAATGCCGAACTTTTAGAAACAAAATGCCGGTTTCTTTGATTTTATTATTCTGATGAGCGCCTGATTTCATCACGTTAACTCACATATTATTATCATACAAGTTGACATAAAATATTTCGTGTCTTCACAATAATGTATGTTTCAACGACACAAAGTATGACGTATAAGACACATACATGCGCATTATTTTTATGTACTTGTTTGAAAAAAATATACAGCTCAACATCATATTATTGTTCAAAAATAACATTAAGCTATATTTCAACCCCGTTTAACCATATCCGTACGTCGTGTTTTACTATCGTATCCATACGACATGGGGAACTCTGTGCCACCACTTTTCAAAGACGAAATTTACTCGTTAATCCGATCCGTACGCTTTGCATAGCGGTCTGTCAAAATGACTTTTTGAAAAATACTGAAAGTTTCAAAGAGATATTCGTACTAGAGGTATTCTCAACTTAATGTGAAGAATACAACCCCGGGGGTACAAAATGACCCCAGGGCGTACTGAAAGGGTTAAGAATAATATGATCGGCAATATTTGGCTTCACATAATTTGTTTCGCTTAAGTGGACACAACGGAAACCAGAGAGCACTGCAGTTTTATTCTGGCAGCGTGCTCGCTCTCTCTCTCTCTCTCTCTCTCTCTCTCTCTCTCTCTCTCTCTCTCTCTCTCTCTCTCTCTCTCTCTCTCTTTCTCTGTCTCTCTCTCC